AATAGTAGGGAATTGATTTGAGGTTCACGTGAGTGTCCCCTGTAGAATTAGGCCCAAAGAAAAGGCGTTAAAGTTGTTAAGAGGAAATGCGCGGGAAGGTTGTTAGTGTGTGGACCCCACTCACTGCTTTCCTTTTAGCCATTCCTTCCCACCAAAGGCCCCCACTCACCGTCACACCCATTTCTCTCTCTCCTCCCCTCAACATCCCTTTTTCTTTTTCCTTTTTTCCTTTTTTTTTTTCAAAAAATTTAAAAAAGAAAAAATAGGCATTATGCTCATTGTCTTTTTTGTCTTTTAAATTTATATTGATTTCATCAATGACGTATTAATTTGAGTGAAAAAAGTTCAATTTTTTTAAAATAAAATTTTTAATTTGAATTTTATGAATAAAAAAAAACATTAAAAAAGCTTTTTCTTATATGAATTACGACCCGACTCAATTTTAAATTTTATGTTGATTTCCATAATTTCCAAATATATTTGCTTAACTATTATTGGATTAAAAATCTAATTTAATGAGAGTGAATGTTTTAAAGAATTAAAGAAAATCAATGTTATAACATTTTAAATATTAAATTTTTTTGGATAAAATTACTTAAATATTTTTAATAATTTTTATATATTAATTTATTTAAAATATTTTAATCTTGTATATTAATTTTAATATTTTAATTGTTATTATGTTTTAATTTTCTTTAACCGATTAATCCCATATTTTAAAACTAATAATTCCAACAAAGAAAAATAATTAGGAGTTAGATTCAAATCACACAAAATTCACGAATTTTAAATGTTTAGTAAATCGTACTCGCGTCTACCTCATCATATGAGTGTTGTAATACAACTAAGAATGTGCTTGTTACCACTACTACCAATAATAGGTGCTAAATTATAGGTTCCCTGCTCTACACATGGTTGTTGGCTTGTCTTGAAACTTTAATTTAAGACTTTCCTACTTCCAAATCACAGCTCTAAATTTGAAATTGTCTCACGCTAAAGGCATGTGGTTGCCTTAACTAAGCAAGTTAATTGATTGGTTAAAAGTTTAATATCTTAGGTTAAAAAATTTCAATCTGAATACTGAGTCAAATCAAAAGAAATTTAAAAAATAAAAAAGTCATTCATTTTTATACATAACTAATATTTTGATTTGTTTTTTTCTTAAAACATATGATTTTTTTTTAATAAAAGAAATTCTAAATTAATGAGTTAATATCTGCTCAGGATTAAAATCAAATCAATGATCGAGCAAAGTCCACCTACTACTCGTGGAGTAGCGTACCCCATCCATAGGACACATTGGGAAGTTCAAAAACATATGATTATTATTTAGACACAAAGCTAATTCAAATTCAACAGTCTTGTGGTAATTGGATGGTTTGTATATTTCTTACACTTAATTAAATGGTCCTTGACATATGATGCATGATGTTGTTGTCGTCCACTTCTTTCTTTTCACGTTTCCATCCTGAAACATACTAGCTGGTTTTCTTTGCACACCTATTTTTTCTACTGTTTTATTATTTAAAAATTGTGTCATAAAAATAATTCGTTGGTCGCTGCCTAAATGCACAAATTGACAGCAGCCTAAATTTAGCAAAGCAATAAGGGTGTCAATAGTCAAAATTTTCCTACTCAAAGTATTAGTAGCATTGATTTTTTGAATAGACTGATAAAAAATTAATATATAATGTTTATAATTAAAATAAAAATAATTTTTTTACATAAAAAATAACAGTTTTGACTTAATAAAAGTACATAATAAATAAACTGTATTTTTTTACCCAATATTTTATTATATGATTACCAGCAACATCATTATAAGACTATTTTCTATTACACCTTTTATACATTAAAAAAATGTTGAAATTA